GATGCGTGTGCGAACAGGTGCACGCCATCCTGCCGCTGGCTCTTAAGGTGGCGCTGCGCCTGCGTAAGCCACGTACTAAAATCAATCGGTCTCCCCTCAGGGTCAAATCGAAGTACTCGAGTGGTCGCCATAAGGGGCGAAAAAAAAAAAACGAGAGAGCGCGGCTACCAGCCGCAGGAGGGTGAGACAGTCAGTGGCACATGGGCAGGCGCGCAGGCAAGGAGGCGAGGAGGCAGTGTAAGAGGCGCACAGGGGGGCAGCACGGCGCGCTGGCCGGCGGGAGACGCGGCGCGGCGACGCGGCGCGCTGGCGGACGGGCGGGGCGGCAACGCAGCGCTGGCGTGGCGCGCTGGCGTGGCGCGCTGGCGTGCGCGCTGGCGTGGCGCGCTGGCGTGCGCGCTGGCGTGGCGCGCTGGCGTGCGCGCTGGCGTGGCGCGCTGGCGTGCGCGCTGGCGTGGCGCGCTGGCGTGCACGTTGGCGTGCGCGCTAGCGTGGCGCTATGGCGTGGCGCGCTGGCGTGCGCGCTGGCGTGCGCGCTGGCGTGGCGCGCTGGCGTGCACACTGGCGTGCGCGCTGGCGTGGCGCGCTGGCGGGCCTGCTGGCTAAGGCGCTAGCGGGCCAGCTGGCTAAGGCGCTGGTGGGCCTGCTGGGGAGGGGGGGGGGGGGGTGGGGGAGCCTTGAGCGCTGGCTAGGGCGTTGTCTAGGGCAGTAGCTAGGTCGTGGGCGAGGGCGCTGGCTAGGGACGGCATAGGACTAGGAACGGAGGTGACTAAGGCCTAGGAACAACGAACCTACTGCTGATACCATCTTAGTAACTGAGAACAGCGGAATGGATTGCATTGATTAGGTTGGGGTACAAGTACCTAACCCTATTTGTTTGTACCCCATATAGTATGACCCACTAAGGGCTATAACATTTGACATAATCGTTATTTAAGTCTTGAGGTGCATAAGTCGAACGAGATCTCAACGCGACGCGGTACACGGTACCTGACATCCACATTATGTTGGTATATTATAAGCATTCGATGATTACTTTATAATCACATTACGGCACCAGCTTACACTCCGTCATATAAGGGACAAAAGGCGCGCGTTCCGCAGGGTCCTCCTCGCTAAGATTTGAAGCCCCTTGATGCATCAGAAATTTTGGATTTTGCTTGTCTGATGAATAAGATATTTTGAAATACCTTGTCTGACCAATAAGAATAGAGTTACAATAGTTTGCACGTGGGATAACATCAGGGCTTACGTTATCAGAAATTTTATGTCTGGTTTTCTCGATTCTAAACGCGTTTTTACTGTTCATCTGATGTCGTAGACATGCTGTTTAATTTCATCTGATTGTTTAGAGACGCTTTTCTGTTCATCTGATTTCTTAGACAGCCTTATACAGTTTGTCTGAGACTGCAGACATCGAGTATTTTCTCGATTGAAGGCAAAATATATGTGGATCAGAAGGACCGCACTGCCTAACAAAATCATGCGTCAAGATTCAAACCTGAAGCCATAGTTTTCACAAGTCCTAGTTGCACTGACTAGACCATTGGAGGCTGCATATAAATATTTCAAACAGAAATCACATTGATATTTCAAACAGACATTATATCTTGTAAGTGTCAGAGGTCCACTGGAGATCCCCGATTGATCCTAGGGAAGGGTTACAGGCACGTTGGCCTGGGGGGTTATGGGCGCACTCACCCGTTACACAAACAAGCCATTTTATCCCAGTACTTAGTCACTGGGATTCTGACAGTAAGCTATATACCTTCATCTAAAATTTCACACAAGTACTTAGGATTCGTCTGAAAAGTTAGACAATGTTACATCTTTCGTCTGACAGTCAGACAAAGAGCCAGGACCTGGTCTTAAAGCCAGACGGGTCATTTTACTAAAGTTAGCCCTGGATGACATTCCAGCTCGGACTTCAATAACCTGATACACCACATTCGCCCTTTCACACCACGGCTGCGTTCTGCGGGCGCATCAGCTCTGATGCGCCCTAGGCTCGGCCTGATCCGCACATTGACAAATTGAGGTTTGGGAATGAGGAATTTGAAACTGAAAAATAGAGGTTCGGAAAATGGAGATTGAGGTTCGGGAAATCAGGCATAGGAGATTTCGAATTTTGGGCATGTCAAATCTCAATCTCAAATTTCCGAGGAATTCCACGATGCTAAAGCTTCTTCGAAGCAGGGAAGCACGCACCTGATGCCTTCCCCACGCGCATGATGCGCTGTTCAATTGCCCCAATTCGAGCTGATGCGCGCATCATGCGTCTTCTCGGCGTTGCATGATGCGCGCATCAAGGAAGCGTCAGATTGCTAGGACGATTAATTTCTCGGAAAGCGGCGACATGTAAATTTGTGGTTGCCAAAAGGACCGTTCTGTAGGCATTCGGGCTTGGTTTACCTCGACATCCAAGCGCTTATCGCGAGCCTTGATAACATTTCGTTTGGTTATCAAGGACGGCTCCTGGAAAATCGGAAAAAATGCAATGTACATTGTTGCGAGCTGATGCGCCCGTAGAACGCAGCCCACGTTCTCCCACATTCACCTAGGCACACCACATTCGCCCAGTTATAGCAGGGATTTGCCTTGTATCGTCAGGGATTCGCCTTTGTCGCGGAAGGGATTTGCCCTGTCGCGGTATGGATTCGCCCTGTTACGGTAAGGATTCGCCCTGTCACAGGGGGGGATTTGGCATGTCAGAGTCGGAAATCTCGATATTCTATGTTTCGGTTTCAGACAAAATAGAGAATACATTTATGATGGATCATATGAAAGAAAAAAACATTTCTGATCAATCAGATTGAGGCTGGAAGTCAATTTCTGCAAAATCAGATTAACAGAAAAAACTTCTCTGAAATCTCAGAAAAGCAGACAAAAATGTCTGATAGCGAGGACCCTGGCGTGCTGCGATTAGCCTGAACCTTGCTGTCAATAGTGTGTAGCCTAGGCTGTATTTGCACGTCACAAATGATATGCTTCGTCATATAAGATCAGTAGGCACGCTCTCCTCGATGAGCCTGAACCTTGTTGTCAATAGTGCATAACCTAGCTTGCATTTGCATATGTGTAACAACATATTTGTATGATGGTTTGCAACATAAAGTGGTAAAACTGTATCTATCTAGGTTCTTTATGGTGCTTTGTTGGTCGGCAATTCAACTGTACGCCTGACATCATAGCGCTAGGAGATTGCAAACAGTTCTTGTGAGAAAATGTCGCTGCGCCTGGTGATTGGGTGGAGCTGATGTGCAGCTTCCATGGCATTGGCCTAATGCCTGTTGTGCATTTAATGAAGATCATGACTTGTTGTGGCTTGTTGTCGGTCATCCTCTCACATGTTTCGAACAGTGTCCTTGAAGTACGGAACCTTTTCTACATTTCTAGGATTTTGAGAAAACCGCTCTTCTAAAAAACTTAGCAAAGATGTTATCAACACGCCCCTCGGGAGGGAACCCAGTCGAGTTTCCAGTGTCTCTTGGCGTGTTTTCCTAAGTGCTGGTTGTAAACATTTGTACACAATGATGTGCACGTAGCTGTTGGGTCTTCGCGAGTCTTGTGCCATGTCGTGACGTGGTGGGACTTGATGCATGAGCTGGCAGCATGGTTGTCTTGCGAAATCTTTTGCACTGGCCTGACTTTTCCAAACAACGATGTGCTGAAGCAGGCTCGATGCTACACCCCAGATCCTTTCACCCAATATCTGGGATTTTCTCCCATCGTACGGCGCGCATTGCGGTGAGGAATAATGATTCTACCTGATGCCCGACTTTGAGCCCAAGGTCCCGACCCGAGCATCACAGAAACTGACTCGAAACGGAATGAGGTTGGGCGTCGTAGCCTGCTTTCGCGAGCTGAATTCGCACCCCAGAATTGAATTTCGACCCCTGTACTGGACTCGCACCTCGAATTGAATTTCGACACTCGCACCTGCACCCCCCCTCTACACTCCCTCCTCTGTAGGGAATTTCCTCTGCTGACAATTCACCACCGTGTCCATCACTGCACCAGTGATACAGTACACACCTCACTTCAAGATGATTGTACTAGGAAATTGTGGTTCGCATTGCATTCCATGTTCACACCTCACTTCAAGATGATCGTTCATTATGAGATCACGCAGGCCCACGTTCAAACTCAAAAGAAACCCCTGTTTCTGACGTCAACTATGACGGAACGAATCCCTTTTTTAGCGATCTGATTGTAGCAACACGTTGCCATATGCTCTTTCCTCCCTCCTCGGCCGACCGACCTCCCCCGTTCCACCACACTTTTGACTGCTAATGAATCTGATTGATAACGCCAAAAATAGGCGCTGTGTATGCATGTCCTTACACATTCTTATCCTGCCCCACAATTCCCCCCACCCGCCTCCCCTGGCCCAGCAAACGCGGTTGCTGCCTACTCGCCGGTTCCGACCCTTTTCCTTTTCCGCGCCATTCACAGCCACAACCCAACGCGGTTTCCAACAAATCAATTCGCATTGGAGCCACACCACACCCCTCCAGAGATTGGCACCATGAACAGAATCAACATCGCCACATCAGCTCAGCTCCGCCAAGGGGCGCAACGCGCGAGTCTCCCTCCCTGCCCTTTCCCCTCCGCGATCCCAAACCCAAGCGGACATACAAAACGAACCCCCCTTCACAATTTCAAATCACCCCAATCGTCCAGCAGACGCCAGTGTGGACGGACCAACAAACAACCAAGACCTACAGCTTCTACAACAGCTAGACAAATCTCGTCCGAGCAAGAACAATCTTCTGTGAGCAGAGAGACAGCCCCCCTTCTTGAGCTGCTTCTCCACGTGGCCAGCTAGTTAATCTGGTTTCTTGACAACTCGTTCTCCAACTACCGATAGACTTTTTGTTTTCAAGGACAAGCCCAGCTCTTCTCGCTTCTCCAAAGTACGAAACCAGATTTCTCTGCTCTCAATCGACACCAATTTCAGTCGCTTTCTTCACGACTTACTCAGACACTATTCAGCGGCCATGGCCTCGACTCCTATAATTCGTCCGCGTCCTACAGCGGAGCTCTTCGCACGCTACGCTTTCACAGAGACAATCGGCCAGGGCCATTTCGGAAAGGTGTGGCGCTGCCTCGACCGCACGACGGGCGAGGCGCTCGCGTGCAAGCAAGTGCGCAAGACCGGCCTTTCCGAGAATGACCTAGCCGACCTCGAGCGCGAAATCTCCGCAATGCAGCTGTTGCAGGGGCACCGCCACGTCCTCGCTCTGCGTGGGCTTTTCGAGGATACTAATAACGTGTACATGATCACGGACCTGTGCACGGGAGGCGATTTGTTCGACTTAATCGCGCGCACGGGCGGGCTCGACGAAGACACCGCGGCGCGGCTTTTCGCGCAGATCGCGCAGGGCGTGCGATGGTGCCACGTGCACCGCGTCGTGCATCGCGACATCAAGCCCGAGAACATCCTCCTCGCTAAATCGTCGTCGACGTCGTCGCACTCCTCCGCCTCCGATACCACCGCCGCCAAATCCGCCTCCGCCGCCGCCGCTGACGGGCTCGACGCGTGCCTCGCGGATCTGGGCCTCGCGTTCCAACTCGCGCCCGGAACAGCATTGTATTATCGGCGTCGCCGGGAGCGCGCCGTACGAGGCGCCCGAGGTGCTCGCACGACAGCCGTACGATTTCAGCGCCGACATCTGGTCGCTCGGCGTGCTCCTCTACTCCATGCTCGCCGCTGGATGGCCCTCGTTCCCCAACAACCGCCGCCAACTGCGCCCAGCCGTCGATTTTGCCGACGCGCCGTGGCAAACTGTCTCTCGCGAGGCGAAAGATCTCATCCGTCGGATGCTCACCCAAGACCAGTTCGAACGGTTGGATATCCACGGCGTGCTGCAGCACCCCTGGCTCGCGTCGCGCCTCGCCGCCATCAGCCAGAAGCGCAGAATCTCCGCCGCATCCCCCGCCACAAAAACCGCCGTCCCCGCCGCCGTTCCGGCGCCGCAGAAATCGGCGCAAAAGCCCCCGCACCAGCCGCGAGAGGTGGAGCGCGAAGCGCGGGAGGAGTTAAAACACCTGAAGCAGCAACACAGGTCGTTGTGTTCCTTCGATTCGGACAAGTCAGTCGACTTCGATAACCACGAATCGCTCCTCCCCGCTCTCCTGCCCGTGCCGACCGACGCAAGCTTCGCCAGGGAGTCGTGCGGAAATGCCGCTGAGGAATGCGACGCGCGGAACCCTAAATCGCGCCTTCCGCCCACCTCCGCCGCCGCTTCCGTCCGCAGAGCCGGCAACGACAGCCGCGAAAGCAGCACGTCTAGCTTCGACTTCGTTCCGTCGCATTCGTCGTTCTCGACTGCGTCGTCTGCATCGTCCGCGTCGTCCGTCGCGGAGATCGCGCAGACTACTGGTGCCGCGACATGCAAGAATTGCCCCGCTTCACATGTTCCGGGCGTCGACTTGCTAGTTGCCTAAATGCGTTGAATAATACTGCTTTGATACTTAGTTTTAAACATGATTTTCTTTGTAAATCTAAAATATTCAAATTCATTCTTTTTCGTTACGCCTGAAGCATGTATGAAACTGTGACAGAAGGAAGGAGGTGGTATAATGAGATGCCTTATTGAGGGGACACGAAGATGAGTATTGGCTGAGTGTCACCATCTACCTATTGATAAACTCAGAATGGTGTGAAAATACGCAACAGCAAGGACAAATATAGGGAGAATGTGCACTTACGCTTCTCATTCCACCATACATTTCCCTCTCTCTCCCATTCCAACAACGAACTTCTCAGCATCACTGCAGCATCCCCTCCCTTCCATCACCCACTTTTGCTCCGTGCAAGGTGGGAGGGGTCAATCGGTGTGTCACGGGGCGTGTCCTGAGATGCGTCACAAGGTGTCACACCAAGTCCATCACGAGGTGCGTCGACACGTGTCAATGGGAGTGTCACACGGTGTGCCATGAGATGTGTCACCACCAGGTCCGTCACGAGATGTGTCACAAGGTGCGACACCAGGTGCGCCATGAGGCGCATCACATGGTGCGTCACGGGGTGCATCACACGGTGTGTCAAGAGGTGCATCACATGGTGCATCACATGGTGCATCACATGGTGCGTCACTTGGTGCGTGACAGGGTGCATCACGAGGACTGGGTGCGGTTTGCTCTCTCGCCCTGCGCTGCTGCTGTGCTTCCATGCGACTCCACCCAAGGTCGGATAGAGGAATGCCCATGGAAGCTGCCAAACCCAGCAGACACTTGTTGTACGAGAAATCCGAGCATGGAGGGAGGGCGGGAGCGACAGGAGGAGGGAGGACAGGAGGAGGAGGGGGAGGAGGGAGGGAGGGAGAGGGAGGGGACGCAGTGGGAGAGGTGGTCAGCAGGAAAGATTGGGGAGGAGGCGAGGCAGGGACAGTAGAAGGGGAAGCAGGGCGAGGGGAGATAGGGAGAGCGGAGGGGGAAGGAGGAGGAAGTGGGGCAGGAGTGACCTCTGGAGAGCATCTGGGAGAGTGTTGAGGAGAGTCCCCTGCAGGCCCATTGGCTGAGTCAGTATGGTGAGGTTGGGCGCTGGCGTCAGCGGCAGGGTGGCTGACGACAGCAGAAGGGTGGTTGACGTCAGCGGAAGGGTGGATGACGTCAGCAGCAGGGTGGACGATGAAGAAGCAGCTGGTGTTGGGATGCTCCGGGTGATGGTCCACCTGTGGAGGTGGGGGAGGGGCAGCCCGAGAGGGGCATTTACACGAGGCACCAACACACAAGGGAAAATCGTATGTGGCTGAATGCATGCAGACACGAAGGCACCCACACCCTCCACACCTGCATCGGTGGAAATTAATTTCTGTATCGGTGGCTGCATGCATGCATGCACCCACCCACACTCCACACATTCGCACCCACCTTTATTGCCGCCACGCCAGCAGCCATCTTCTCCTTTGCCCTGGGGTGGTGCCGCAGAAGCTTGCTCACAACAAACTCCGAGTCGTCCTCAGAGAGCACATCCCTCGGCTTGTACCTCACGTGCAGCAGCTCCCACGCCCTGCGCCTCACTGCGTGCAGCATGTCCATTGCGTCATACTTCCTGTCACCCTCATCCCCCATGTACACCCGCACTCTGCTGCCCCTGCTGCTGCTGCTGCTGCTGGTGTTGCTGCTGCTGCTGCTGCTGCTGCTGCTGCGGCTCTTGTTGCTGCTCTGGCTGCGCTTCGTGCTGCCCGTTGTCCTCTTTGCTATTTGCTGCTGCTGCTGCTGCTGCTGCTCCAGTGTTGGCACAGCGGACCAGGCCCCAACCTGTCTCATTAGCCTCCCCGACATCAACCTCAGGAGTATCACCAGGTGCAGCTGCAGCAGTATCAGCATGCGCTTTGGCTTCAGTTGAAACGAGACCAGCAGGAGGAACACAAGTGGCTGCACTATCAGCAACAAAAGCAGCAGCGGTTTCAGCATTAGCAGCAGCAGCAGCAGGAGCTGGAGTATCAGCATCAGCACGCCCCTCCGTGCCTACCTCCTCCTCCTTGCGCTCCCGCCACTGCTTCAGCTGCACTGCAAGCACTTGTCGCAGGCTCACCCCTTCCGCTGTCACCTCTTCTCCCCCCTCTGCCCTCGCTTCTCCCGCCTCTGCCCTCGTGTGTGCCCCTTCTGCCCTCTTTTCTGCCCCTTCTTCTTCCTTCCCTTCTGCCCTTTCTCCTTCCTTCTCTACTGCCGCTACTTCTCCCCCCTCCTCTGCCCTCTCTGCCTTCCCTTCTGCCCCTTCTTCCCTCTCTGCCCCCTCTGCCCTCTGCTCTGCCTTGTGTCCGCACCGGTCAAGGAAGACGGGTAGAGAGGAGGAGTGCAGGCCCGGCAGCATGGCTGTTGGGTGCTGTGACAGGGACGAAGCCAGGGAGGCGAACAGAGGGGGAGGGGGAAGAAGGAGGGTTGGAGGAGGAGGAGCGAGGGTGTTGGTGTCTGGAGTGGGAGTGTCGTGCGGGGATAGGAGAGGAGGAGGGGGAGGGGGAAGAGGGAGGTGAGTTGACTCAAGAGCCGGAAGGGGAGGCGGAGGAGGGAGGTGCGAGGGTGGAGAGGAGAAAGGCCGCGGAGGAGGAGGAGGAGGAGGAGGAGGAGGAGGAGGAGGAGGAGGAGGAGGAGGAGGAGGAGGAGGAGGAGGAGGAGGAGGAGGAGGAGGAGGAGGAGGATGAGACGAGGCATCTCCAGACGCATTTCCTTCACTCGCCTCTCCGCCTCCCTCTCTCCGTGCACCCAAAAGCACTCCCAGCAGGGACCCCAGAAGGGACCGTGGCAGGGGCAGGTCAGAGCAGAGGAGAGGGTGGATGTGGCGGCGGGGCCGGTAGTACATGGGGTGGTTGGGCGTGTGAGACGTGTTGGTCTTTTGAGGCGCCTCAAAAGTCGGCCGGTAGTACATGGGGTGGTTAGGCATGTGGGAAGTGTTGGCCTTGTGCTTGGGATGCTGCTGGTGAGAGGGAGTGGTTGCAATGGGTTGAGAGCTCTGGTGCTTCGCTCCTGTGTCGCCCCATGCTCCCCCGCCCTCGCTCTTTTTCCCTTCTACATACCCCCAGCCTCCTCCGCCCTCACTTCTTTCCCCCCCTGCATTGCCCCATGCTCCCCCACCCTCACCCACGTCTCCTCCTCCTGCTTTCCCCCATCCAGCTGCACTCTCCCCCTCTCCTCCCGCCCCCCACCCTCCCTTTTGCCCTTGATCGCTGCCCCACCCTCCAACTCCCCCCTCATCTGTTCCTTCTCCCTCTCGTGCTTTCCCCCACCCTGCTGCACTCTCGCCTTCTCCTCCCGCCCCCCATCCACTCTCTTTCCCCTGATCGCTGCCCCACCCTGCCCCTGCGCCCTCGTTACCCCCAGCATCCGACCCCTTACCCCACGCTCCCTCTCCTTCCCCTGCACCTCCCCACCCTCCCTCTGCCGCCGCCCCTGCTGTCTCATCTCCTTTCCCATCCTCCTCTCTCCCCCACCCCCCACCGTCATTGCGATTACCACCCCATCCGCCTCTCCCCTCCCTCGCAGCACTCCCAGCACCAGCAGCAGCACCAGCACCGTCAGCAGCAGCACCTCTCTCCCTCTCAACCTCCTCCCCTCCTCGCACTCTCCCTCCACCCCAAAGAGGCTCCACCGTGCCCCACCGCCCCAGCCTGAACCGTCGCCGCCCCTTCCCCCTGCTCCCCTGTCCGCCACGTCCCCCCATGCACAGCAGCTCAGCCAGCGCAGCCTCATGCAACGCTTCCTCCTCTCCCTCCCACCTTTCCTCTTCTTCCCACCCACCTTCCTCCTCCCTTTCTTCCACCCCTCCCTGCCCCGTTCCCTGCCCCCATGTGTGAGCATGCTTTCTCTCATGTTCCATGGTCTCACACCCCCAATCGCCTCCTCCTCTCCTGTTCCCCCCTCCCCCATAACCTCCCCCTCTTCTTCCTCCGCTTCTACCCCCCTCTTCCCGTCCCCAGGGTCTACCACCTTCCCCAACCCCTTCTCCCCCCCATCTCCCCCCCCGGCCCCGTCCCCTTCCCCTCCCACGGCCGCCCTGCCACCTCTCACGCCCTCCTCCCTCCCATCCTCCCTCCCATCCTCCGTCCCCTCTTCCCCCACCTCCCCTCTCACTGTCTTGCTCTCGCACACTCCCTCGCACTGCATCCCAGCCCCTACCTTCCTTGCCCTCCTCACTTCCCTTAACCGCGCCCCATCCGCCCTTCCCTGATTCCTCCTCTCCCGCCTTTCCTCCCCAAGCACCTCCCTCCGCCCCTTTCTCCCCTCTCCATGCACCTCCCTCCGCCCCTTTCTCCCCTCCCCAAGCACCTCCCTCCGCCCCTTTCTCCCCTCCCCATGCACCTCCTTCCTTCCCTTTCTCCCCTCCCCATGAACCTCCTTCCTTCCCTGTCTCTCCCCCCCATCCCCCTTTCTCTCCATCTGCCCCCCCCCAGCCCCCTCCCTCCTCACCCCCTTTCGTCCCTCCATCCCCCCATCTACCCTCCTCCCCTCTTCTTCCCCCCCACCCGCCCCCCCCTTCTCCATCCCCCCCCCCTTCTCCCGTGCCCCATGCTCCCCCCTCTTTCTCTCCGCTCTTCCCCCACGCACCACCATCCCCCTCTCCCCCTCCCGTGCCCCACCCACCCCCCTCTTTCTCTCCACTCGCCCCCCAACCACCACCATCCCCTCCCCCTCCTGTGCCCCATCCTCCCTCCTCTTTCTCTCCACTTCCACCCCAACCACCACCATCCCCTCCCCCTCCTGTGCCCCATCCTCCCCCCTCTTTCTCTCCACTCGCCCCCCAACCACCACCACCATCGCCCCCTCCTCCCGTGCCCCATCCCCCCCCCTCTTTCTCCCCGCTTTTTCCCCACGCACCACCATCCCCTCCGCCCCCACCCGTGCCCCAACCCCCCTCCTCTTTCTCTCCGCTCTTCCCCCAAGCACCACCATCCCCATCCCCTACTCCTGTGCCCCATCCCCCTTCCCCTCCACCTGCGCTTCCC